TATATATATGGCTGTGCCACCACAGTGGCTTAAAAATCATTTTTTTTTTTGTCTTTTTTGTTGTTGTTGTTGTTTTAACCAACATTCACTACCAAGCCTTTCAAGTATTAAATGCTATGCTCTGGGGCTAGTGAGATGGCTGGCTCAGCAGGTAAAGGTGCTTGCTGAGAGCCTGATCACCCTAACTTGATACTAGGAACTCACATAGTGAAAGAACTGACTCCTACAAGTTGTCCTCTGTGCATACACCCCTCAAAAATAAATAAATAAATTAATTAATAATAAATGTTAGGTTCTGATTTACTATTTGACCCATAAAACAACCAAAGATACAACTGATTTTATACTTATTTATACAAGCACTAATAAATGACATTTAAAACTTTTTTTCAACTTGACAGATTAAGAGACAAAGTCACATACAGTATATATTTTGCAAGACTGCTACGTATAATGCCATCCAAAGTTCACTTTATCACCTGACTTATGGGGACATTCAAAACAAAGAAAGAAATAAGGGGGAGCATTCTTCTAGAAATCAACTTAAACCGCTTTACAGTTATGCACCACTGTGCTCTGGTTTGTTCTATAAAAGGAAGCCGTATTTAGACATTAATGCTATTCCATCACCACTTTGAACATTTCTGAGACCCAACCAACAATATATTTCTTTCTTTGTGTGTGTTTTGTTTGTTTCTTTTGGAGACAAGGTTTCCTTATAGCCACAGCTGGCCTAGAAATTGCTATATAAACCAGGATATCCTCCATCTCACGGAGATCCGTCTGCCTCTGCCTCCAGAATGCTGGGATTAAAGGCATGCGACACCACACTGGGCTTTTGTTTTAGAGATTTTAAAAACATTTTTATAAGCAGTGCCTACTTCTATACTACCAACCTGCCCCAAACTACTGTGTGACTTGGGGTAGCTATTGATTCAGTCAATAGCACTTAACTATCCCATGAAGGGCAGAACCTGAGAGGACAGAGGTATGGACAGAGGAATCAGCAGTGTCTAACAGTATGAATTTCTGGAGATAGGGAATCTAGTTTGCAGTTCAGGTTTTGTCTTGTACTAGCTTTGAGGCTCAATTTACTTATCAGGATAATGTACTAATATTACTGCAGTAATCTCACTGGATTTGTGAAGATTAAATAAAATGTGCATATCAAATAATATGTACCAAGAATTCTGTTAAGTAAATGGTAGTCAGTCTAATGTCAAAGACTTTGGGCAAAAAGAGAGGTTTACAGGCTGCAGAAGCATAGAGAGGGGAACGATCTGTTCTTCTAGGAGATAAAAGAAAGAGAGTGAGGAAAACTTCCAGCATAGGTATATTTTATCAGACCTTACTGGACCCAAACCCATCAAAGAAATAAGCAGCTTAAACAAGAACATGGAAGTGCAAGCACTGGTATAAGGAATATGGTACAGTTAGATCTGGAGGGAAACAGAATGAAACCTAGTTTTAAAAACTCTCAAATGCCATGTTGCTAGGTTTGGACTTTTGATTGCAATGAGAAACCACTGTAGGCTTTCATTTTATTTTATGCGATGCTAGGGATTGAACCCAGGGCCTCGCACATGCAAGGAAAATGTGGTACCACTGAGCTACATTTCTAGCACCCCACTCCAGATTTATAAACTAGAGAATGCATGACTGCATCCAAGTTTCAGACCAGTACTCCTAAGGGTTGTGTGGAGGCTAAATATATATAAAGAAAAGATCATTCAAGAAGTAAAGATGATGTACTGGAGCAGAGCAGTGATGGTGGAAATGGAAGAGAAAATTAACGACACGATTAGGACACAGAGTCAACTGCAAATTATAACCTACAAGATGTTAGGGGAGAGTGAAATGGAGTGACTGAAGAGTTTGCCAAGTGACTGGAGAGAGTTACACTACTGGTTTATTTTATAACACACCCTTAGCATCTATTCACAAGGCCATCAATGTACAAAGCCAGTTCTTATTGTTTAGTTTACATCTTAACAGTCTAGGTATTTGACTTAGTCATCCTGTTTCTTGCATCACTGTTGACGGTCTTCTCTCAACAATCTGCCTTTCCCTTTCTTTGGTTACAGACAGTATTGCAGATCTCACGTAGGAACCAACAATACTTCCTTCAAAAACTCCTCATCTTATAGTGGAACTCAGTTAGAGGAATGGAGTCTTGAACTTTTTTTTCCTTTTTTAAACAGAAGACTTGAGCTGGGCATGGTGGCGCATGTCTTTAATCCTAGCACCTAGGAGGCAGAAGCAGACGGATCTCTGTGAGTTCAAGGCCAATCTGGTCTACATAGTGAGTTCCAGGCCACCCGGGGCTACAAGGAGACCCTGTCTCAAAAAGACAAAACAAACACAAAACCCAGAAGACATGATAAAAATTCAAACTCCGAAGCATTAGATATTTAGTAATTCAGTAAATAACACATCCATCTATGTCAATTTATCCTGTCAGAGGGAAGCTATTTCTCATGGTATATAATTCAGATGACACATAACTTAAAAGTTTTTGTTCATATTCCTTTCTCTCAAGAATCACAGGTACAACTACTTACCAGTTTTCAAATGTATAATTCACAGCTTTAAAGCAAGTAGCACAAAGCCAGTAGACACAGGAAAGAAATCAACAAACAGAAGTGAGAAAAGCAACAGTCAACTATGCTAAAATGATAAAATGTCAGTTAATTAAGCTATGTGACACCCAATAAAAGTCAGTGTAAAATAATTTGTTTATGAAATCTGTAGAGAATATACTAGGCAGAACAATTATACTGAAAATAAAAGTTGTAAGACAAAACAAATCTATCATACTCTATCCTACTGCTCACAATTGTCTTTTTCCCAAGCAACTGTTTACTATTCACAACTAACCAAATGTCCTGTGCTACTAAATATAAATATGACACATAAAGAATAGAGAAAATGACAGTAATTTAGACTAGAGATATTTACTAATTCAGTTTTGTTGATATAGTAGTGACTACCATTCTAAAATTTTACATCAGTACTTCCCTGATTCCATAATATGATTTTTGTAATTCTCTATTATCAGTTGATATTTTAAAAATTTCATTATTGCCAAACACTGAAATTACTTAGGGCGTGAAACAGTTTTGTGGTGCTTTGTTCTGTCTTTAATTTCAATCTATGTGCCAGTGTTCTCTTTTTTGGTTAACAAAAAGACCAAGAATTTCTCAAATCTAGAAATGCCTCACACTTACAAAGACAATGTATTCATGGAGGCATTAATTCTTTGAAGTAGAAATCTACCCTGAAATAAAAATTCTAAACTCCGCTGCACAGAACCTCATCACGTAGAGATCTGTTTGCAGTCTGATGCCTGGAAAAGGAGTAGCTACCGTTTTTGCCCTTACCTTTAGTTTCAGACGTTAACTTAGACTCATGATAGCCCGTGCACAGATACGACATAAAATGAAGTCATTGAAATGATAAGAACAGCTACTGGGGTGTGCAATACAAATCCTCAGCTACCCTCTCTACTTCATCTCCCTTTACCATGAATCCCAGTTATTTTAGCTGCAATCAGAGGCTTTCCAGTTTTAAAAGCTCTACTTTGTACTATAGAAAAATCAGCCACATTTATTCTTTCCACTGTTACTTAATAGTTAAAGAAAAACCGTGGGCTTTAAGAACAATTAGGTAGTTGCTGATTATCCCAAGATAAAAGTGCCACTACTGTACCAATGTCATTTGCTGTGCTGGTCACTGATGTGGTTTTAGGCTGGTTTTGAAGCTGGAGTTGGATCATCGATTGATGTTCTCCCTTAGCAGTTTTCATACTGCTCTCCAAAGCTATGAGAGCTAGCCTTCAAGGGAGGTGGCTTCCAGGTCAGTCCCAGCTCTACTGCTCCAAATCCTGCGTCCAAAATATGTCCTGTCTTCAGTAATAGGGTCTTACCTTCAAGTTCTGGGAGGCAATCAAGGACGGTGGCAGTAGCCTGTGTAATTGTGGGAGTCTTGGACCACCCTGGCCAACAACTCAAAGGAAGGTTTCTCCTGTCTGGCTCTGTTTCTTGTTATGGAGTCTTCAGCTATACTCATGGACTCGGGTAGAGATACTGTATGTGTACTTTTTCAGTAGGTTTTTGGACTAATACAATTCCCTCTGTTTCTTTTTTTTATACTAGCTAGGCACTATTTATTTCTCTTCTTTCTCTTGTCTTATCCTCTCTTCCCACCCTCCCCATTTAAAGTGTCCCCATTTTCTCCATTTCTCCTTTGATAGTTTCTGTATGCTATGGTCCCACCTCTCTTGAGTTCCTTCTTCCCCTTTATTCCCATAGTTCTTCTTAACTACCCCCTTTTTACATATTTCTCCACTATTCTCCCTCGGGTTCCTTCTTTCCCTTTAACTCCCTGGTTCCGTTCCACTTTCCTGGTTCCTGCAGTTACATGAGGATATGTACTCATAAGGATTTGGTGCTAGGATCCACAAATGAGGGAAAGCATACGTCTTTTGTTTTCTGAGTTTGTGTTCACTCAGTGTAACAGTTTCTAGTTCAATCCATTTACCTGCAAATTTCATGATTTCGTCTTTCTTTACCACTGAGTAAAACTCCATCGTATAAATGAACCACATTTTCATTATCCACTCGTCAATTGGGGGACACTTAGGTTGCTTCCATCTCTTAGCTATTGTGAAAAGAGCAATGGATGTACAAGCGTCTCTGCAATAGGACAAATGTTTTAATTTCACATATTTATTAAAACGCATAATATACATGTTTATTTTATACACAAATAGGGGAAGATGGTTATACTATCAGAAATATGTACCAAAATACAAAACCAAAAAAACTCAGCCTTACTAATATTAAAAATGGAACTTTTGGGCTAGAAAACTTATTCAGAGGTTAACAGTGTGTGTTGCTTTTCCACAGAACTTGAGTTTAATTCCCAGTACCCTCACTGAGCAGCTTACAATCACTGCAACTAGAGCTCCAGGGTATCTGATGCCCTCTTTGGGTTTCATGTGGCCATGCCCCTTCATGCACATGACACACATACAATAAAAACAAATATTTAAAATTTAAAAAGTAGATTCTGGCAAAACCAAAAATTTACTAGGAGAAATTTTAAGACAAAAAGGGAGACTTCAACAAGCAGTTTGCAAACTGGGCAGACAGAGCCATTGGCATAAACTTGAAGTGTGATCTAAAGGAATGAACAAGGGCTAACTTGTATAAAGCTCTTGCCCAAGCTCCCAATCTGGGCCATTATATAAGTGAGGAATTCAAGTGTCTAGGAAGTGTTCAGTACTGAATACCTGACATTTAAAGCTTATCGCAGGTCATAGCTCATTTGTTAGATTTGTTTATGTTGGCAGCTGGAACAGGAATATGACTAGAGAGGCCTTCAAAAGTTCAGCCTTTGGTTTCTCCAGGAACAGAATACATGTGTAGCAGTCAGTAAACTGCTGCCCAATTCCATCTTAATTGTACTCACACACTTGGTCCTCTTCTTGGAGTCAATTGCTAATGAGGGCACTTAGAAACCCGTTAGATCTGATCCAAAATCTCTATAGATTAAGTGGGTTCTAGGTTTCTTGTTAGAATTATCCCAGAATCTTAAAGATTTTCACATTAGCAGAAGTCTGGTGGGAGTCTCTTGTGACATCTCTTAAAACAGATTACAATGCTCTCAAAGACAAGTCAATGTTATGTCCTAGTATGAAGAGAATCATCAACAGCTACAGGGCAGAATGCAACAGGGAACCAATGTCAGAGAGTAGCCAGAAGAAAAGTTTGAGAACTTCAAGTTCAACGAGCTAAAGAAGACACTTTGAAAGACATTTTTAAGATTTAGCCAATTTTTTTAGTTCCAAAATTTCTAATTCAATCTGGCTTGAAGTATCCAGGGAAAGTATGAGGGACATGTTACAGTACAAGCATCTCCCTATGCAACAAGGACTTAATTCTAACACAATGCAGTTATTTAGGACTATGTGAGCAAGGGAGTCCAAAGACCTCTGCTGAGAACTAATAGTCTTAGGTGGTTGAACAGGTGACTATAGTAACAGCATAAATTAAGAGCAAGATGGCTCAGGGGTAAAAGCACTTTCCATATAAGCCTGAGTTCAATCCTAGGAACAGAATCCTGAGAGTTGTCCTTTGACTTCCAAACATATGTTGCTGCACTGTGTGCCCATGCTCACACAAATCATATACACAAAATAATTATAAAAAAAATTTAAAACCCGGAGGGTGGGTTTGAACCTCTGTCACTGTAGAAGCTCTGATCTCAGCAGATTGCCAAAGAGTCCTGGCCTCCCTCTGGCCTCCCTTTGGAAGAGGGCCTAAGAACATAGGGGACTGCCTGAGAGCCCCCAGATCCTGCCTCCACGTGATGGTGAGCTTCCCCTAACTGCACCATACTCATCCCTCTACCTGGGATTTTGTGAGGCCTCCCAAGGCCCCAGGGCAGATCTGGCTTTGGTAGGCTAAGACCCAGATCCTAGGAGACAGCCTGAGAGGGTAGGTTCTAATCTCCATCGGTGTAGCAGCTCTGATCTCAGCAGAAAGCCAGAGAGTGCAGAGTTCTGGCCTCTCTCAGGCCTCCCTCTGGCAGAGGGCCTGAGAACACAGGGGCCTGCCTGAGAGCCCCCAGATCCTGCCTCCATGTGGTGAAGGAAGCCTGAGTGTGCCTGACTGGAACCTGAATTGGGCTTCTGTGGGTACTCCTGAATTGCTGATCTGAAGCCATCAGTTTGCTCCAAATTAAACCTTAGAGAACCTGAACCCTGTACCAACCAGCTCTACATAATCAATAAAGAAAGGATCTAGGCACCCAGATAACACAAACAGAAGCATACTTCAACTTAATTCCCATATCAGAATCATAAACAACAAAAGAAATTCACATGCCAAAATCACAACAAAAGAATAATAATGGAAAGTCAAAACACTATATTCCCACCAAGCTCCACCAGTCCTGTACAAGAGTTCTACAATGAGAACCCCCTAGAGATAACACAGGACACTGAATTTAAAAGGACAATCATAAACATGTTTAAGGAATTCAACGAATTTAAAGAACACACAAACAAACAAATCAAAGACCTAAAAGAAGGTATGGGTAAACCTCTGAATGAATTCACAAAAGAGATGGAAACACTGAGGAAAACTCAGGCAGCAATGAAGAAGGAAGTGCAAAACTCAATAAGCCAACTTGAAACAACAGGGGAAAGCCTCACCTCTAGAATGAATGAAATGGAAAACAGAATATCAACACTGGAAGATAAAGTTGAAGAATTGGACCACTCAAGCAAAGATTATGGAAAATTACAAAAACCACAGGAATGGAATATGCAAGAGATGTGGGGCACCATGAAAAGACCAAATCTACATATCATAGGAATAGAGGAAGGAGAAGAATTTCAGGTTAATGGTGTTGACCATCTAGATCTTAAACAGTATTGTAGATGAGAATTTCCTGAAATTAAGGAAAGACATTCCTATATACATGCGGGAAGCACATAGAACACCAAATAGACAGGATCAGGAAAGAAACTCCCCACAACATATCATAGTAAAATTTAACACTAAATGTACAGAACAAAGAATACTGAAAGCAGCAAAAGAAAAACAAGTCACATACAAAGGAAAGCCCATCAGAATTACAGCTGACTTATCAATGCAAACTATGAAAGCAGAAGAGCCTGGACCAAGGTATTTCCAGTTCTACATGACAATAGATGCCAGAGCAGAATACTTTACCCAGCAAAAATGTCTATTATATTTGGGGGGAAAAGAAAAATCTTCCATGACATGAATAGCCTGAACGAATACATGTTCACAAAACCAGCCCTTCAAAGGATACTTGAAGCAATACAGAGAGCAGAGAGAGAAATAACTATGTCCCAGGGGAAACAAAAGAAAATAAAATAGGTATAATCGAGGAAACACAAAAGTAGACACAGAACACAAACAGCAATCAAAATGACGGCAACCAATACACATCTTTCAATAATAACCTTAAATGTCAATGGACTTGAACTCCCCAGACAAAAGACAAGGACTAAGTGAATGGATTAAGAAACAAAATCAATTTCTTTGCTGTCTGCAATAAACCCATCTCACCTTCAAGGACAGGCACTACCTTAAGGTAAAAGGGTGGAAAAGAATATTTCAAGCAAATGGCACTAAGAAACAAGCAGGGGTTGCAATTCTAATATCTGACAAAAATAGACTTCAAAGTAAAACTAATCAGAAGAGGTAGGAGGGTCACTTCATTCTGACCAAGGAACAGTTAACTAAGAAGATATTACAATCCTTAACATGTATGCACCAAACTCTGTTGCACCCAAATTCATAAAAAACAACACTACAGGACTTTAAGACAAAAATTAACCCCAACTCAATAAAAGTAGGGGATTTCAATACCCCACTGTCTCCATTAGACAAGTCAACTGGACAAAGACTAAACAGAGAAATGGACCTAACTGACATCTTTGAATATTCCACCCAAGCACCAAAGAATACACTTTCTATTCAGCACTGCACAGAACTTTTTCAAAAATTGACCACAAATTGGGCCACAAAACAAACCTCAACAAATACAAAAAAATTGAAATAATTCCATGCATTATATTGGACCACATCTCAATAAATCTCAAAATCAACAGTGGACAAAGCCCTAGTCACTACAGGAACTAGTGGTGATTGAACACCACACTCCTAAACAATGAGTGGGTAGAAGGAGAAATTAAGAAAGAAATAAAAGAATTCCGGGAATTCAATGAAAAGGACAATACAACACAACCTCTGGGATACTTAAAAAGCAGTCCTAAGAGGGAAGTTTATAGCTCTAAGTACCCACATTAAAAAATTAAAGAGCCCAAATAAATGACCTAACAGTGCACTCAAGATGTGGAAAAGGCAAGAACAAATGAAATCCAAACTCAGCAGAAGAGAAGAAATAACAAAAATCAGAGCAGAAATTAATAAAATAGAAACAAAGAAAACAATATAAAGAATCAATGAATCTAAGAGTTGGTTCTTTGAAAAGCTAAGCAAGATAGACAGACCATTAGCCCAGTTAACCAAAAGAAACAAAGAGCAAACCAAATCAACAAAATCAGAGATGAAAGGGGAAACATCACAACAGACATCCAAAAGATCCAGACCATTATAAGGGAACAATTAAAAAACCTATACACTACTAAATTTGAAATCTGAAAGAAAATAGATGGATATCTGAAATCATGGAAACCACCAAAGTTAAACCAAGAAGAGATCAACAGTTTAAACAGACCCATAACATATAAGGAAATTGAAACAGTAATACAAAGCCTCCCAACTAATAAAAAGCCTAGGTCCAGATGGATTTACAAGAGAATTCTACCAGACATTTAAAGAAGACCTCCAACCAATACTACTTAAATTATTCAAAACGATAGAAACAGAGAGAGAACTCCAAAATTCTTTCTAAGAAGCCAACATCACTCTAATAACCAAACCAGGTAACTCTAATACCCAAACCAGGTAAAGACACAATCAAAAAAGAAAACTATACACCCCTATCTTTAATGAACATAGATGCAAAAATTCTCAACAAAATACTTGCAAACCACATACAGA